AAGAATGGTTTGAAAAGTTATCACTTTCCGGTAAATGTTTGTATTATAAGATGTTTAAATGTACTTTTGACGCCGCAATTTATCTTTCATGTCTAAACGTAAATAAGTATAGGATAGCTTTAAGCAGATTGAGATGTTCTTCACATGATTTGTTTATTGAAAGTGGAAGATTTAAAAATGCCAAAAAAGAAAATAGAACTTGCAAACTATGTGATCTTAACCATATAGAAGATGAATATCATTTTCTTTTAATTTGCCCTGCTTATAATTCCCTGAGAAAGTTGTACATCAAGAAATATTATTGTGCCCATTTCAGCATTCTTAAACAACCAAAACCATACTATACTTCAAAACTTGTCCATGTTTGCTTACTATGCCATGTTGTTTAGGACAGAGTATATCTCAGAACACAATGTAACCTACAGTTGATTATTTTCTCTTCTTCATGTATATTACTTGTGCGTGTAAATATTGATTTTATAAATGTGTTGTACTACAGGCCTGTGGCCTTTCAGTACCGGAAATAAATATATATATAAAAATATGTTACCTTTCGCATATGAACGAAAGGCACTATAATCCCGAAATACAACATTTTGCTATGAAAATTATACATATTTTGGCAAATTATCTTAATATCAGTTTATTCAAAGCTCTATGATGCAGTAGTTTCTAACCTTTTAGTTCAAAACTGTCTGTGTAGGTTTTGGACGAGCAAATCAAGGAGTTTTCTGAAAAAAACGTCCCACTTGGGGACCCATTTGGTCTAAAACATCATGCCAATCACAGAATAATAGTATAACAGAATTTAGAGTGTTTCCCTTTTATCAACTTACAGTAGCATTGATTACAAGCAAAACTCCCAAATCTAAGACATGAACTGGGGCGATCCCCAAATGTTGCTCGATTTGAACTGGAATTGTTTCTTGTAACGTTATTTTAATTATTTTAGTTTCACAAAAGCGTTGTTATTAGTTCATGAAATGTCTCAAAAGATAAAACCAATTTGGAAACAGACAAATATTATCGGAACGTGTTCACAAGTGTAGTTTGTCCGTTACAGATGTTGTGAATCCCACTGAATTTCGCCTGAAGGTTGGGGACAAAGTGAAAGTAGAGGTTGACGCAGATATATTTGAACGCACGCACAAGGCCTTGACTGTTTATCGTGACAGCATGTCACAGGTACGTACATTGAAGCAGTCTTCTTCATCATGCTGATTTCAACATTGATATATTCAGTTATTACTCGTCATCCGTTGAGGTCACAGATAATGGGTGTGACTTTGTAAATACGTGAGTATGGTTTTACGCCGCTTTTAGCAATATTCCAGCAATATATTGGCGGGGGACACTGGAAATTGGCTTCTCACAGAGTTCGCATGTGGAGAACCGAACCCGGATCTTTGGCGTGACGAGTGAACGCTTTAACTACTGGGATACTCAATGCTCGTGTGACGTCGTAATTGCATCTGCCATCAATGACATGCTGATTAAGCCTTCTGTGTTTTGATGTGATGATCTACAACGATTTCCAACAAATTACGATTTTTATATTTCCAGTGTTTGGTAGAGGTTGGTACTGTCATCGGTCTTCCCTCTCCAGACCGACAGATCATTGTTGCACATGTACAGTACCCAAATGCTGAGAAGTATAGTCTAGTGAAGTCGACTTTGACAAGGGTAGGTAGTGTTTGGGCAATATGAGTCGTGACATGATCTATTTGTTGGCATTTCAGAAATAGATGAATAATAAGAAAGATATGATACTCTCATTCCTGCTTAACAGCGGTGTAAGAATCTATACCGAAACAAGGCATCTTGATACATATAATGAAGCGGTTGTTATCCCTAAAGTACCATATTTGTCTTATCAGTCGAGATATGCTGTTCAACATGACGGCTTAAACCAGGTTTGTTTCTATCAATTCAGTCCTTTTCAATCTAAGACCAAACTGTTCTGGTTTTGTTCAGAGCTCAGAAAGTATGTATAACCTGTGTTAACATAATTTAAAGACTTCATCATCCATAAAAGAGTCTACTGACTGTAACCTTGAATGTCAGAGAAATATGTACACATATTGTATGTTCCACCTTACATTACAAGCTTACTGTACGTTTGAGCACGCATTCACTCAAACACCATCCATTCTCAGATGAAGACGTTTTGATGACGTCTTGGTCGATCTGATTATTGCAGCTTCACACGTTTGCTGTCGGGGACGTTGTGAAGATTACCAACAACTACAACGCTGCCATGGATTTCCAGAACGGACATGGCGGATGGAATTACAAAATGGAAAATGTATGTAGACCGATGCAACAGTAACACGCCATTACTGTATTTTCTTTCTTCTTGTCGTCGTTGCCGAAGAGGAAACGTTCGATTTATCCAATGTTCGACCAATCAGTTTAGAAAGTGTCACCGGGAGTTACTGTAACGTGTTTGGTGATTAATATAAGAATAACAATTAAAGATTGAAAGCGTGAAATTCTGTTCAGGTATGACCGGACTAACAAACTTGTCCCCGTACTTTATTGCAATCCTTCTTCATCCACAGTGTCTGGGAAAGACCGGCCAGGTGGTTGAGATCGACAAGGACGGGGATCTGAGGGTGGCCTTTGGGCCAGTCAAGTGGTTCTTCAGTCCCGTCAGCTGTGATCCTCAAGACAAAGAGGCCTTGTCAGGGTCCGGCATCTCTTTCGGGGCTAATAAAAGCACCAGTTCAGACTCCTCTACATCTGATGTTGATGGTACTCATAAATCTGCATCAGCAGGTAAGATACAATATTTAAACAGTAAACAACATGAATTAGGGATAGGACATTACTTGATTAGAGTACATATCACTGGTTATAACATATTAGAGTACTTATCACTGGTTATAACATATTTTGTTACTGTTTAATATTGTTACAATAATTTCGGATTTTTCAAAAACAGCATGAAATCCTAGTACGAAAACGAATAAAAGCCATTCATACCCTGATAGGAATATCTGCTAAAGATTCCTTTGGTGAACTGTTGCAATTTTGGGAAATAGCTCATGGATCTAAGGCAACCAGTTGCGTTTGTGTGAAAGTAGGATCCGCTGGAAAGAGAGTTGTTCGCTGGTCAATTAGCGGTTCATCTGATGTGGTGGATGAAAATGAAAATGGCAAACCTTGAACTTTCTGACTCTCTGCAATCTTAATGAGTATAACGGTCCTTGTTTTCAAAAAGTCCTTCAAAAGCTCATTCACTGCATTCTTCTTTCTCAGACATAGCCGAACGTGTGGCTGAGGTTCGGTTCGGCCTTCTGAAGCCTAGAGTGAGTGCTCTGTTCAAGCCCAACGCATCATCCAGCAGCACCGTAACAGCCCGAGACCTCGTCATCGCTGTCAGCAACGGCGACACGGAAACAGTGAAAAACATTGTCAAGTCTATTGGTGACAAGGTACCTGTGCCGGCGTAACGAGATTAACATTGTTCATTCAGGCTCTTACGACATAAGACAAAATTACATTGACAGGATCTGCTGATTGTGGGTTTGAATTCCTGATTCGTCCCAATCATGATTCTTGGTTTTTGGCACGTCCTCTACAAGGGTCCTGTGATGACATGTAATAGCTGTGCATGGTTCAAAGTAGCGTCATGGGTAGGTCACTCACAGAATTTTAATAATAACACTGAACTACCAAGGGATGGTGCAATATGTATTAGAAACAAAACCGCATACAGGCTATTTGTCCCATACATCCCACAACAAACACGCGTTACAAACTCTACATTTTTGGCAAGTGTCCATTGATTAAATGCATTTAAATACTGCCATACTGGGATGCATTGCACCTTTACCAGGTAACCTGAGTCAAAACTGGGTTAAACGTTGCGTTCATAATTCTTTCACTTCTACGTTCTTGACAGCACATTAAAAACAATTCACACCCTACAAGCACTGACATGCGTAATTCGTACTGAATCTAAATAATTGATTCCTATTTGTAGGTGATTATTATGAACCTAGTGATCAAATGATTTATTTATGAATCAGGTGAACGAATCAGTGGATGGCCTGACGGCATTGCAGATGGGGTGTTTCAAAAGGTCATGCTGGCATAGTCAAGCTTCTGATCGGTGCTAAGGCTGATCTGAACAAGGCTAACGGTGAGGGAGACACACCTCTGCACTATGCTGTGTCAGGGTGAGTAGGGGGACAGAGTAGTGGTTAACGCACTGCTTTTATCAGAATACAACTTGTGATTAAATCACAATGTATCAGAGAATTAACCACTAATCTGACAGAATTTTCCACTCAACAAGGAGACGGACGGTCGGATAGCCCAGTAGTAATGCATTCGTCCGTCACGCCGAAGAGCCAGTTGAATGGGTACATTGTATATGGGTACAACGCGTGACGCCAATTATTCTGGTGTCCCCTGCCTTGACATTGCAGGAATATCTTAGTGAAACCATATTCAATCACCTCACTCACCTTCAGAGTGAGCAGCACTTAAAAGTGGCGGCTTAAAAATGTCACCCATTGACTCCTGACTCTTAACTTTTTACTTCAGACACCCTCATGACGGTTGTCCTCAGTATGTCTAAGTCTCAATATCCACATTCCTGTTGATGTGACATAGAGACCAGATGGCTAAAGAAATATATCAGGTTTATATTGAGACAATGCTGGTCATGTCAACAGAGAGCAGCCCATTGTGGTCGGGATACTGCTGGAAGCCAAGGCACGGGGCAACACGAAGAACAACAAGGGACTGACACCATTACATCTGGCAGTGGCCAAAAAGGACCCCAGCACCCAGTGTCTGAAGACACTCATACAGTACAAGTGTGATCCTAACACACAGGTAGGCGCAGCTTTTGTAATAGTTTAGAGAGTCAGTGAGTGTTAGCCAATGCATAAAAATGAGTTTATATAATTGTATAACAAGCATTAAAATTCACAAATGTATCTATTCTTTAGGATGAGGAGGGAGATACGCCCCTTCATGATGCACTCTGAACCCATAACCAGCATCTTCTTGATCCCTTCCTGGAGTGTGCCCAGCTGAAACTGAGACTCGCCAATTCTAAAGGCAGCAACCCTTTCCACGAAGCATGTGTGACGCTCTCTGGGGCAACAGAGTAAGTTAACCAACTGAAGCTTTCTCCATTGACAGATCACTGAATCGTTGAAATGATGCAGAAGCGAGCTTTTTTGTATTGTCAGTTGATAGATCATTTGACAGATTGACAATTGTGCCTTGATATATTAGCAGAACCTGTTTTACTGGTACCGTACGATAGAGAATTTAATCATTGGAACTTGTTTTGAAATGATTTGGGAACCTAACTGGGTAAACCACCCCAAAAAGATCTTTATCTTTTCAAATAACTGTCATGTTTTGTGTTGTTAAAGAGTATGTATGTTACAGTTAATACTTTGCCGTGACCAAAGGTTTAAGAGTCCTCTTTGAACCAGCAAAATAGAACTCAGACAAGTCTAAATTCTTCAATAATATATTGAACAAACAATGAGCAAGTTACAATGAATGAGAATACAGAGGGTAGTACAATGCAATTGAGTCACAAATCTAAACTATTGGGTCACAAATATAAAATATTAACTCACCAGAGTCCTGACATTCACAATGAGAACAAATATATCAATTGAAGGTTGTTTACAACGACAGCAGGTGAATAGACAAGCACCTTGAACAACTATATGATGGCAGACAGATGTGTATAAATCCTCCCAGTCGTGTGTAAAGTCCCGTCGCACAACTCAACAACCAGCCTTTATATAGCTCTTACACGGATTTCGAGCATTCTAGCAAAGCTAGGCTCCATCATTATTCTCGCAGAACGTTACGGGACTTTCTCGAACACACGATATGACAAAACCGGAAGTCAAAACAAAATAAAGCCAACCAAGGGAGGCAACTCTGAAGCGCTATCAAAAAGGTTTGCCGCTAAAAATACTATTGCCATTGAACATATATGATGCGAGATGGGATCCAAAACCCACACTCAAAATTTGACCCATAATAACTATCACTTAATCAATGTGATATTACAAATTACAAATTATAAAAAAAACACTCTCATAACACGTTTAAATGGTAAACGATGTACATAACCCGGAATCCTTGCAAAGAAATTCCAGTAAGTCCAATTACCGATTGATACAGCTCCTTAATTTTACAGATTTCCACAAGCACTGATAAAGAGAGATCCGAAGATCGTCAACGTCCCCATGAACAACACCCTCACCCCGATACATATCGCAGCATTCCGGAGTTTTGTGGCCCTGGCAGGTGTCCTGGTGAAGGTAAGGTGAATCGAAAGGCTTAAAAGACAAATCTACTTCTACTCTTTTCCAAACCACTGTGGCAATGAGAGATACCTGTCTGTTTCTAACGATACGGTATTTATTCGCAAGTTCTAAAAGTTCTAAAAGATGACCCGCTGTGTTGATTTTGTAACATCATCCCTAGGCTGGCTGCAATGTCAATGCTCGGGACGACAATGGTAAGACAGCTCTTCATATGGCTGTACAAAGATGTAATCTTCAGATTGTGCAACTGCTCCTTGAATCCGGTGAGTGAAGCTTACATGTGAACATACAAGTCTGTAATGTGCAGAATGCCAAGCTGTTCATGGAATCTGGTAAGAACCACATTCAGGCAGTATGCTATACACGTCTGTAAATTGCCCCTGGAACATTATGAGTATAGCTCACATGCAGCATGATGTACGAGTCTGGAGATTGCAGAATGTCCAACTAAACGTGGAATATGAAGAGTATAGCTTTTATGCAGAATGCCATACAAGTCTGTAAATTGCAGAATGTCCATATGCCCTGGAATATGATGAGTATTGTTTGTATGCAGTATGATTTACAAGTCTGTGAATTACAGAATGTCCAACTGCTCCTAGACTGTATAAAGTAGGGCTCACATGCAGTATGATATAAACAAAACTGTACAACATTTAATGATCTGCAGGGGCGGAGATCAACGTACAAGACCAGGAAGGAAATTCTCCTCTACACGCCACCCACATGGACAGCACGCTTCCTGGAGCTGTGAGTCTTTCGTGTATATAGGACGAGATAAATTGCGTCAAACATCTATTTGTGAGCTGTCGTCACTTTCCATAGAAATATCCTAGTCTATGTTGAACGTTTTCGATACAACTGTCTGCACTGTCTACAGGAAGGTCCAAAAGACGCGGACTTGGCCCTGGAAATCCGATGTCATCTTGTTGAACGAGGAGGAGCCATCAGATTGACGAACAAAGCCGGGAAGACACCTCTAGATTTCGTGAAGAACAAGGAAGTGCGAGTTATGTTGGAGAGGTAGGACAGATCCCATATATCAGACAAAGTTCCAAAACCTTTAACAGAAACGATGCAGCAACAGCACTCTCTCACTGACAAGTAAGAAACAGATGATCCGCAGCAGGCATATTGACAAATCAGTGACCTTTCTGATGCCATTTCATTTTCATATTTAAAAAAAACTAACCATTTACCATTAGGTATATGTGTAGTTATCAGTGTTCTGTTCCTTACTTAGTATAGGTGGGGTTTCGGGGTAGCCTAGTGGTTAAAGTGTTCACTCGTCACGCCGAAGACCCAGGTTCAATTCCCTACATGGGTACAATGTGTGAAGCCCATTTCTGGTGTCCCCCTCCGTGAGATTGCTTGAAAATTGCTAAAAGCGACGTTAAACCATTAGGGCTGCACGGTATTACCGGTATACCGGTAAACCGCAATCCGAAATTGCAACAAATACTTAACGGAATTCGATTATGACCTACCGGTATACCGCCAAAGATTTATTTGTTCAATTTTAACCCATTCAACACGGCACATGAGACTTCCGCCCGTATACTCCCTAACGTTTAATGGTGAGGAAAGAGATATATTCAGGTAATATGGGTGGTGCGGGTGGGTGGGGATTGGGCGGAAGTCTTTCCAACTGATTGGCAACGGGTCCACTTAAAAATTGTCGAAGAGCAAACTATGGACGTTTCGATGAAATCATTAAAATTGAATATACTAATGAATAAAATCAACAGTTTTCATAAAAGTTGTCAAACGCACATCTAAGTCACTATTTCCATCTTTTCCCGCGATCATGTTATGTAAGTCAAGTGACATCTCGGCTTTCGTCACCTCGATCTTCATCCTCGGACACGATGTTTCATGAGAAAACATTTGCATAAAGAATATTTGTCACAGGTTGCCACCTAGCACGATGATGGTGGTGGTGGTCCAATAAGTTCCATAATTTACGCATATATGGCGATTTGTTGCTTAACACGTTTAGAATAGCATTATTGTACCCAAAACTTTTGTCTCAAAGTTTTCGTTTTTGAGGACGGTATCCATTGCTGTAATATGGTAGGTTTACGAGCATGATTTTTACCAATCACGAACCATATATCAGACTGTGGCGAAAAAGCGTCATTAGAAATCAATCTTTATCCAATAAAATCGATTCTTACAACTGCGAAAATATATATATTCCTGGCAAGGTAACTATGATATTATTGATGATTAGAGCTTTGGAACATTACCCGCCATCAAATGAATCTTCTAGAGTGTTGTTCATACTGAGCTTCGAAAACGAAGGCATTTCCCAATGTTGTGTCATGTTACCGGATGAAAAGCCACGATTATCGGGAAATAGGCGACCATACATATTATTTAATTAATCTTTATATAATAATTTTCTGATTGCGTAAACATGAAAACATAACAGAAATAGGTAAGAGGATATTATGGCATCTTACAAATGCATTAAAATAGCTGGAGTTTACGTCTCCTTCGTGGTTTATATGGACATAGTGTATAAATGTGTATTACTATTAGAAAGAAATTTGTATTATTTAAATAAATTCGTCTCAATTAAAGTTGTATTATTTGAATTATATGATAAACATACCTTTGGTATTTATCAACAGTTGGATTAGACCTAAAAAAATTAAATGGTGTATGACATAGCAATAATGTTTCACAAGCTGATATTTTCCTTGATAAACATAGGCTTCTATCTTATTAAAAGGTTATGTTTCTCATGTTTAATTTTTTCATTATTCTATTTAGTCTAAAGAAAGTGTACTTGACCTGATAAAGAGTGACTTGTGCCCACCGTGATTCATGAAATAGGTAATGTAAGTAATACATTTATTCAAAGACAAAGGTGCATAAATCATCGTTTTCATTATAATGTGAACTTCAAGATCATGTCACATGATTGTGACTTCAATTAAATGTTTCTTGAGTGATTCAGATGTGTACAGTAAATTCTTTAACCCTTTAAATTATTTCAAGTTCAACACCCGTTGCTGTTTAAAGAAGTTAAAGTATATGAATAACATGGGTGGGTCGATGGAGGACATTGTGTAAGCTATTTTAAGTTGAATTTGTCATATATGTGAAATGAGAAATCATTCATTTAACTGCTTTAATTTTCCTTTCGAAAGCAGTTTCAATTAAAAGAAAGACTTGTTGAAAGTTTTTTTCAGAGTAAAGCATAGGGCTAGTAAATTTTTGAAAGGACTAGTGACATACAAAATCCACTAGCACGGAGGGCCAGTTAAAACTTGTAGTGAGTGTCGATCCCTACTGTTTTGAAATACAAATATAAACGGAAGAATGTTCTAGATTTCCTTTTTTCACTTTGAAGAATGCACAATGGTTACTCACATATATTATGATTCAATTTGATGGTAAAGGAATATTACCAAGTGGACAGATCTCATAAACTGTTCTTTCACAATATATTGTAATACGTATCGCAATACAGAAAAGTGTATCGTAATAGATCGCAATACGAAATTTGGGGCAATACACAGCCATATAAAACATACTCACTCACTCACTCTTAGTATGGTTATATCGTTAGAAATCACTTGCGATTGTTCTGCAGAATGCTCAAGCTGTGAACAATGTGCAGTTCAATGTCATACCGAAAAATGAGTTCCTTTTTTCAAATTAAAATGTAAAATGGTACATATACCACGTAATTCGTTATTATAAGACGATGTTGTACCTGTACCTAAACTACCGCATCAGTTATATGTAAGTAAAAATATGATTGATAATGTAAATGTGACTTTTCAGAATTTCAAAACGACCTTCGACCTCGTCAATGAGCCAATCAAAGCGTCTACCAGCACACTGGGAAACCATGGGACAGGATGGGTTCAAGAAGGTGGAGCTGAGTGAGTCCAACCCGGTGACGGCCTTTGAATACAGACATGTTGAGTCAAAGGTGGAAGAGACGCTGTCCAATAAGAGCATCGTGTCCATCTACCGTATCCAGAATGTGGCATTGTGGGAACAGTATACTGTGTGAGTATACACGATGAATGTAACAGGCAGTGTATATGGGACGACCATGAAAACTTGGCGAGGAACTCTATACTGTTACAGTTGAATACGTTTGCACGAGAACTTGAATGTTCTGGAGGTATAGTGGTACTGCAGGGAGACTATTCCATACTCTCCCAGAGCCATGTTGTTATTTGTATAGGTATTCACTTTGAGAAAAGACTTGCAGAATTTAATGTGCACAGTCTCAATAATACCGCAGGGGGCGGATCACCACAAGTCAGATCTATAACATCTAAGGTCTTGCGAGAGGTGTCCCGGAAGTTTCAAGCCTGACCATTGAAAAGAAGTTATGTCTGAAACTCTTTCTAGCTATTTGTCAACAAAGTCACCCTTGACTTCTATAACTTGATCTAACGTTTGCTGCCTCGGAGCTCAGATTTGAGCCGAGGAAAAAAGAGGATATCAGAGTGGCAAGATTTGGATGTGGGACGATCGTAAAGCCACAGTCCTGTGCAGAGCTGACTGCTACTTGAGCAGTTATAGTTTGTGCAATTCATGCTTTTCATGTTACATGTTTCTTCATGCCTTAGTACTGTTCTGTGTACACACGCAGGTTTGTTGTGTCTGGAAGATCCGTTCATGGTCAGACCTGAACCTTGTGGGACAACCCTCGTACCGCCCCTTCAGATAGAATGCCGACTTTATGTCTGATGACAATATGTAAATGATTTTTCATTCTTCATCTCTTAAAATGTGAATTCATACAGTTTTACGCCAGGACGCAAGTTGTTTATGTAAATTAGATTATACAGAAAGTTTATTTAAACTAATATGTCCCTGCATGATACCTGAGTGAGCGAGTTTAGTTTTACGCCGCACAAATTCCAGCTGTGTAGCGGCGGTCTGTAAATAGTCCAGTGTGGACCAGATATTCTAGTGATCAACAGCATGAACATCAATCTACGCAGTTTGGATACGATAACATGTGTGAACCAAGTCAGAGAGCCTGACCACCTGATCCCGTTAGTCGCCTCTTACGACAAGCCTTGGTTACTGAAGATCAATTCTAACCCGGATCTCCACGTGTGCATGGTGCCTGACATACGCCACCCCATGTGTATAGATGCATGTTACAACGTGATGATATTGCGTAAATGCGCAGGATTCATCCATTTGCAAAAAAAAAAGCTTGCGAACTGACATATGTACTTAAGAATGCTTTCTTGTAGACATGGTATCAATGGATGGTTAACACCTTATTCTCCTCACACACATCCTCCTAAATAGGAGACTTTACAACCTATGTTGTTTTCAGCGCAAAGGTCAACATGGAACGTGAATACGGTCGGGGTCTTGCCAATGAAAAGCAACTCTTTCACGGAACCACACCAGACTCGGCTGATCTCATCCCGCAGCAAAACATCGACTTCCGGTTAGCCGGAAGTAGAGTGGGCGCCCTCTATGGCCAAGGAGCGTACTTTGTTGTGGATGCCAAGTACGCGGATGGTTATGCTAAAGAAGACGCCCGCCGTCACAGGTTCATGTGTTTGGCTAAAGTTCTGGTGGGGAAGTCGAGGCAAGGGAACCCAGAGCTGAAACGTCCCCCAGTATTGGATGCCAGCAACAAAACTAAACTCGCTGACTCAGCATGTGATAAGGAAACAGACCCGAGAATCTACGTGATTTTCAGCGAAGGTCAAATATACCCCGAGTATCTGATTGAATATCATTAAATCTCAATTTATCGTGTGTGTATTTGTGGGGGTGGGGGTGGGGTTGGGGTTGGGGATGCTTTTCTTGAACCTGCGAATGCTGACTAACAGCGCACAAAGGACCACCATCGGTTGGTTCTTTCAGGAATGCGCCAGTGAAGAATCACGCCACCTCTTTTTATATATAAGCATGTTATTCTAGTTTAACTACACCTGTTTTAATCGATGTACATTTGAAACCTATTTACCACGAGTTGTTTGTAAGGGAACTTGCTGATATTCTACTCACAATGTCACCTGACATTTGTATTTCATACATTCTCTTGCCGTTAGGAATTGAGAACTAATGAAATATAAACTGTGATAATTCACGTAACATAACATTTGATATATTTGTTTCCATCGTACAGTGTAAGAATTATTGCAACAATATCTGGTGGATTTTATGGGCGTTTTTTGTATGGAACGAAAGAAGAAATGTTATAATTGTTCATAACTCTTTTTACAATACGCTCAGTACTGAAGATAGTGTTTGAGTCTGTTGTCAGTAGAGTAAGACAAATGCAACGTATAATTGATGACTTTTTAATTTCCCGTTAACCCATATCTCTGAATGTGTAAAAGTATCTCATGCGCATGAACATCCTAAGAAAATCAGTCTTAACCGAGATTTGATGACATATTTCTGTCTATTGGAAACTACGAATTTCAGTCATACTTTGTCTTGAATCCTTGAAAGTGGTTTTGTTTCGGATTCATAGATAATGTATCAAGGAAAACATTAAAATAGTAGTTTGTTTAACGAAATATCAATGCTACAAACATGTTTCTATTATGTACCTTGATTTAAACAACTGCTTCAATAAAATATGGATGTACTCTGTCACTCTTGTGAGTTTTAATTGTTCAATAGCACGTGCGAGTTCCGTGATCAACGGAAGACTTTACTTACTTATTTAATCTTCTTCGTGCTCTTAGCACATAAGGCTGTTACTAGAGTTCATGCGCGCTCTACATTATAACCAATCACATGCGAAGGGTTTTTAGTGCGGGATAGTTAAAATGGCAGCGTCCAGAGAAAGCCGAACGAGCTTGATATGTTTTTGGTTTAGGAAGTGGCGTGTGTCTCCTGCCTGTTTTTACACATCTTAGTTTTCTGATAGAGAGTTTAGGCAACGATCACTGTGTTTACATAATACGATCTTATGCCATCGCCTGTAATGCTATCATTGCTGGAGTCTATATCCAAAACAAGGACATGTACAATGTAAGTCTAAAGTTGGCCAGGTAGGCATGTGCAGTGTTGGCATAGTAACGTGTCACCTATATCATTTATGGCCAAAACGGGAATCAAACACCGAGGATCGTTTTTTGTCATTCATTAATTGATTATTGTGTTTTTAAAAGATGAATTCATTCGATTTTACGGGAGGTTCCTTTATCGTGTGATGTTTCGGCGTTGATCGCATCCCATCTTTTACCACCAGTTCCAGTCTGTGGGCGCAGGAATGTATAGCAAGCAAATGTGGTGCAAATGTTTTAACTGCATCTCCACTTCGACAGCATATCATTACTGATGCACCATCAAAGTACACTCCAACCAGACTTGATTGCCACTCAGTAGCTCCATAGCTAAGTTTAGAAGTAAACATGTCTACTAGTGCTTCCTTGATGTGCACTGCATCTGGCTACTGAAGAAACACATACAAACGATGATTTTGGTCTGCTGTCATGAACATAGCGAATAAACATTATTTTGTTTTCACTTGTACTCACATCTTACTAACATTACATAGAACAGAGAAGAACTCAGCACTTTTTAGTTCAGAAATAATATCTTTTAAAATTGTTTCATTGATACACATGATAAATTCTCTAGCTTTTTTGGCTGTAGAATAGCTGTGGCCTACATCCAAACCCAGCGATATCAAGAGGTCAAAGATCTTTGGAAAATCTGTGTAGGTTTTCTCATTCAATGCAAGATAGTATGCTTCTCTAAATAATCTCATTAATATTTCTGTATTTCTTACAGTCAATCTTTATAACGGCCTGTTCTAGTGGTAGTTGTGATGTACTGCGAATAGTGGCTAATTCTGAGTGTACAGAACGCTCATATAACTCACTGTTTTCGTGCATTTTAACCTCTTGAAGCCTCATTGAAGTGAGTGAGTGATTGAGTTAATATTTATAGTCACATTGGCAATATTTCAGCCATATTGTGACTTAAAAAGTTCTAAATTTAACATAAACACAATTGCATTATAAGACACCTGTCGACGAAGGACAGTAAAACAACTAGATTATCATAGGAATAAATTTGAGACTAGTAATTAAATCAAAAATATTTTACATACAAATGACAATACAATATAAAACCCGGCTATAGATTGCCAACAACTGAAGGTAGATCACCATACTAGGGACCATAGGGACTTACAGTACATTTGCTTCCTGCATGGACCCTAGCCTCATTGAAAACCCACCCGATCTGTACACATTGTGTCGACCACTTTTGTCGTGTTTCTGACAAAATGTACACTACATCGTTTCACAAAAGAACAGCCAGTCTCTACCCTCTTTCCAAGAATCGCTAAAAAGAATACTTTTCTCTCTTTTTTTGACATCAGGTTTCTTTTCATCTTTTGATTCAGAACTTGGACATTTTTCTGTACTAGCGTCACTCGATTTTGTACTCGAATCATCAACATATGCATGAGTGACAGTTTGAGGTAATACACTGACAGTATCTGGGGTATCAGCGCTTGTACTAGTGCTTGCCGCAGCATCTTTTGCCATGAAAATGTTTTTTTTATCGAAGCCTGTTTTCGATTTGCCATGCCGATACTCAGGCCGAAACATGCTTGTCACAATCGATGTGGGCCTAACGTCTTCAAGTTTCACTTCGTCTGCTAGCGAGCCACACAGACAGACAAATAAAGCGTCATAGCCGATCAAAAAATGTTTGATTGAATAACCTATTCGCACCTAGCTGGATGCAGCCGAAAGATAAATATTCAAGACGAACTTTTAACGTTTCGTACTCTGATTGGCTGACCATTATATTTCCAGAAGATCCGGAGTTTAATTATTCAAACCGAATATTTCAAACCGGTTCCATGGCCTTTCTATGTTTTCTGTTTAGCTTGACAAACTGGATCGCTACTGAAATCGGTTAGGTTCTCTTTACATTTTGTACTGTGACCGATAACTCCTTCTGGATGAAACGGAAGTAACAGTAAGTGATCGAATCGACGATGCTTTTGTAAACTTTCACGTTCAAAAAGGGATTTGGGACAAAGTCTTATTTTTATCCAAAAAAAGGTAACTCGCACTGGGTGCTACCTGATATACAAAATAGGCTGCGCTCAGCAATTTGCCGTTGCACTGGTACAGATTGTAGATAGCGAAATCGACCCCTGAGAAGTACAGTAGTTTGGCAGTTACGTGATTCTTTGACATATATAACATCCCTTTCTCAACAGTTTTTTTGTAATCTAACTTTATGTATAATGAACAGGTCGGGGCGAACCTGAAAAGAACTATAATAGTTAGATCTAGCTATAGTAGTTCGAATGAGCTGTATGTCTATAGGTCGATCGAGCTACATTAGCACGTACCTCGAAGAGGCTTTTTAAGAACCACTTTCCTACTGGAATCGACTTACTTAAATTTAAATCTACTTGCACCACAAACCCTAGCATTTCTATTTTATTAGCTGCTGAACTACCTAACCCTGTCAACATTTACACTTGAAAGACAAAATAACACATCTTAAAACTTATAATATACCTCGAAACTTGGAGACTCACATTGCGAAAGGCTGAACTTGTCAATTGCATGACTTCTGGTTTGAAGCCAATCACAAGTCTTGGATGGCATCAGCCCCGTATCGTGATTGGTGGGGGCAGCTTAATTGGCAAATGCGAAGACAAAGAAGAAATATTTTATTATTCATGGACAACGCCCCTTCCCACAACCATAACCTTAGTCTGAGTAACGTGAAACTTTGCTACCTTCCTGCAAACATGACGTCAGTTCTTCAACCCCTAGATCAAGGTATAATCCACGCAATTAAGGCACATTACAGTCGATATCTTTTGAGATCACTTGTCTCTAGAATTGACACATGTTCCAGCACTCATGAACTTTGAAAAGCAATCACGGTGTTAGATGCAGTGAGGTGAAGTGAAATTGGGTTTAACGTTGTGCTTGAGAATATTTCGTTCATATGACGTAAAGGACGTTTGGTCCCAGTTTAGATTCTTTTGAGGACCAAGTTTCATTTTCGAACGCTTTTTTATCCTATCCATATAAGCCTTGTTTTTTTTCGATATAAATTTTTAGTCCTGAGAATCTTGCAAAGATATCCAATATATTTAACATAGCGGAACCATATCCATTGACTAAAACATTTGATTCGATTCCTCCATTCAAGGTTTTAAGCCATGTTCTAATAGATGATTAACATAATTATATAATGTATAACAAATCAGACAACAAAAAGCAAAGGCAAAAAAATGAAAACGCATGAGTAACAAATGCTGTCAGGTGGTAAACGTCCAGTAATTATCGAAACTTGGTATTTACCTAAGCTTATGAACTAATTGAAATCATAAGAATTTTCTATAATCTACCCTAGAAATGGAATCAAAATAGGTGTACAACTGTGTATATTACGTCGGGGAACTGACATTTGAGAAAACGTCCGTATGTGTTAATATCTGGATTATCTTGGTTATACCAACTTGAAGTATGATCATGTTTACACATTTACAACAGTGACTTACATCGGAAATCATTACCAGTTCATGTTTTTGTGAACACATGTGTCTGTGTTCTATTGTAATTAGCATTGTCCCTTTGTATATCATAAATACTTCCCATCAAAAGTCTAGACTTACTACAAACACCCACTATATGTTATGTGTATATATACTTCAACCTTCAATGGTTACATCGAAGATTGATTTCACTAACTGGGAAGAACCAACTGCATCACGTCGCTGAAAAGCACGCGCAAATATCGAGCATGTAAACAGCTGCGTTTTGGTGTAAGGTTTTGTTACGAATTCGCCAATTTTTACTGGTTTTTATCATTTATTGAACTCAAGATAATAATCTTTTCAACGTAATGAATTTGTTTTTCAATACATCAGTTCATCAGTAAACAGTACATTTAAACAGTGCGGAATATTTTTGCAAAATTCAGTTTAGAGCAAAAGTATGTGGATATATTTACACTATTGAAACTTTTGATGCGAAGTATATAAGCAATGTATCTAGGTCAGTTATTTAAACTGCAATGTAATTTCCATAGCAAAAAGGTATAAACAATATTACCTACTGATCAGAAAGGCTTATTAGTACCCAACCACCGGCCCATACCCTCTCCCTTTCTCTCACATGCACGCACACGTACAGACGCACACACTCCCTAACATACATATCGCTCTGACCCATAGACCCGATATTTGAATCTCTTAAACAGACACCATGGGTATGGCAAGAAAGGCACGCACGTTAATAGCGGTGCTCAGTCATGGGTATCACATCGCCAATGTGTTTCTAATGATCTCAGTACATTATGGCGTTGTCGGTATCGCTAACGAACCCGATGTGACAGTTATATTACAGAACTATTGAAATACATGTTAAAGTAGTGTCAATCTTAGAACACTCTATTTACCCATTACCAATTATTTACGCGCGTATTAAATATATGACAAACCTAACCTTGGTCATACGAGATTTCAAGGGTACTGATCCATGTCCTTCATTCACAACAGTTACGTTTATTACACATGCTAGAAAACACATGAACAATGGCCAGATTTGCACACCAGTGAAACCCATGTAAATACAGAGTTGAGTGTTCAAATATTTTAA